GTACCGAAATTCGAAATTATCCAACCATTCGTATGAAACCAAAAGTACTTCTCTTACCCTTTAGCTTTACTAAGTTTTGGCTCTACGTTTACGAAGTTTTGAAGTTAATCTTGTTTACGGTTTAGAGAAAACAATCGCCTTTGTGTTAATTTCATACAAAGAGTTGCGAATATTGTTCTTTCAAAAGGTAAAGAGAAAGTATTTCGATAGATCATAGACAATTAATAAAACTGTGTTAGCAAGGAAAGAACTATAAATTTTTGAAATGACTTACACGCATTTTCATATTGAAATTTTGCAAAGTATACAAATCCTGAGCAATAACCGACTAAGCTATCGTAGGTTCAAACGTCAAAATGAAATTTCCTACACAGCCGATAAAATTAATCGAGCAAATGGAAGGTACCACTTTGCAAATCGGTGCTCTAGTGCTTCCAATTAAAATGGACGACAAGTCTGCCATCGCGCGACTCGAATTTACGAGCGTATTCGTTCTGTCCACTCGAGTGTCTTTGCCTCGAAAATCGTTTTATTCCATTTATTCTTTTTTTTTTTTTTCATTCTTTTATTCCCACGAACGTTTTCGGGCAATTAAAACTGCCAATTTAAATCGAGACACATGATGTTACATCGCATCAAATGCCATTTATACGAATGTTTAGGCTATTGCATTACATAATATATTATATATAATATATAAATGTACGTATATGTATGCTTAAGAGAAAAATAAATATGAAAAGAAACGAAATACGCGACCGATTATCCACATAATCCAATTCGTGATATCGTTTAATTTTATATCAAACAATTCCGTTGAGAATTCGAATAGAATGTCAATTAATCATGAAGCAAACATATACACATTGAATACACGCGTGATTTGACTTGAAAAATGTAATTTTGCGTGTCTCCATCGCACCTCTGTGTTAATTCATTTCTTTGTTTTTCCCGTTAGTTGTTTTCACCGATAAAAATTAAGAGATCAGTAAAGTGAAAGCGCGACGACCCTGGCATTGCATCGTGCATTTAAAAATCTCCTGTGAAAACTCCGGGAGTCGTTGAAAGTTTTTAAATTCTACCGAGACAATTTTAAAGTCAATAAATTCTCGATAACTATAAATCTCACGAGTACGATGTTACAGGTCTGAGATAGAAAAATAAGTAATGAAACAGAAGGTAGATTTATATTTTGATGTTATACCCTTTCAGGTAAGTTTTTTCAAAAGAATTGTTATTTAGTGTTAGATCGAGAGCTTAGAATGAATGTGATACTTTCTATGCATTGGAAATTGTAGTACGTATATACAGCTGCTGAATATTAAAGTACCAGCCATGTGTCGAACGTTTCAAAACATCGTCTTTAAGCTATAAAAAAAAGATAAAGCTGTATTCAATTCTCGAAGTAACTTATTTTATTTATTTTTATTCAATACATCACGAATAAGACAGTTCTCTCTTTGTAATACTTTATAATCTTACCGCTTCGTCAGAATCATTATTTTCACTGTAAGGAAAATGTCAATATTTTAGCAACAGAAATAAGAATCTTTATTTCTATTCATTGGTTTTTCTTTAAGCATTATTGCCAGAAGTTTCTTAATTCCTATTTTTCGATTCGTTATTACATAATTGAACGCGATATTGAACGCTCAATTTAACCTAACAAGATTCGCCAATGATTCTAACAAAATCTTCGACGTTGCTGGAATGTGTAGCTAGAAAATAAAACTTGAATGAAGCGGTAGGAAAAGAAACGAAAAAATACCGCTATACAAAGGCTATCGAATTGCACTCACCTCAGTTCTATTCTTTTGACCATCTTGCAAGCAACAAAAGAACAAAGACAAAAATTGATAAAACTTTAATAATGAAAAGAAACATGAAAAATAGCAATGTCGAGGAAAATAAATGAAATGAAACATTATTACTTAATTATTTCGTATTACGCTCATTTCGCTCGTTCTATGTATATAGACGTAGTATATATACGTAGGTATAATACATACGTCAATACTCTGCTGATGACTGACGTTTAATTTTTAAGATATTTTTTTTTGTATTTGCGATGAAGAGGACAGCTTTTCACGAGCAACGTTTCGTACTATGGTACAAGTCCACCATAATTTTGGAAAAACACATCCACAAATCCAATTATGGATGATTTACAATATGAATCATATAATATCAACAATAATAATATATATATTACTTTTTTCTCGATATGAATTAAATAAAACTTATACTAATACGGCTTCTTCTAATGCTGGTTTTCCATATTTACGAGACAAGAACGTGACATGAGTCGAAAGCAAAAGATAGGCTTTAACTTTCAAGCTTCACACACTTTCCATTGTGTCGAGACGGAAAATGCAATCTTTTTAATACGCACCCAAACGTGAAGATTACTGCCAGTGAATACAACGAAATATTCTTTCATGCAACTCACGTAACCGAAATAGTCTAAAATTTTTTTTCTTGATTTTTGTAAAAACGAAAAGAAAAAAGAAGAATACTAAAACGCAATAGCATGCATATGAATATTCCTACGATATTATTCTCAGATACTTCAATGTGCAAACATGAAAGAGCCGATGAACTGAAAACCCAATATCCCATTTATCGATTACTCAAAATATCGCTATACCAAACGGAAATGATTAGAACATTGATAGCGTTGTGGGAGACGTTCCTATAAACATGTGAAAGGAAAACATTCAAATATTAACGAATAATAATTACGATTTATATAGTAATACACATTTGATATTATATTGAATGAAAAATTCCCTAACCAATATAAGCTTGATGAATAAGTATATTATTGCAAATCATATAGTACTGAGAGAATATGTGTTATTAATATATAGCTCGTTTAACGATATGCAAATGATTGGCTAATACAATTCGTAAATTGTCTAAAAGTCTATACAAGCAATCCTCCGTAATTTATAATCCATATATGTATATATTATGTTTACCATATACCTATAGTCTAAATATCAAACCACGTTTTCAACATACATATTTTACACATCTTTTACATTTTTACATTTTTTAATATTTTATAATTACTCCTGTTATATAACTCTCTGTTCAATAGTTACTAAAATTTTCCCGCTCGCTTCTTTTAATTATACCGAAATCAACAGATTCATATTCTTCATTGAACTTTTTGATAAAACTTGTACGTAATTATTACTCGAAAGATTTCTCAACGCTGATATTATTTGCTTGATTATTTTTTTAATAATTAGAACGATGCTTCAATAATAAAAAGTTGAGAAAAATTATGAATGAAAGATGCTCGTTATTTATTCATTTGTTGTATACGATGCCATAACATAATTCTGTGCTCTTTGTTCTTTATTCATTAATACATATGGCAAAACTCTCTACATAACTCTTTTGCAGTAAAGTATATATAATACATACATTTATTCTGTTAGGTTATTCAAAAGGAAAAATATATAAAATATATATGTGCACGTACGTAAGCATTTTTATTTTCGTTTATGTTAGACCCTTACACGAAATCCCATCACTTATCGGGTGATTCCATCGAAAAGATATCTTTGCTCCTCAGAATTACAAGATACCAATATTACCCCCCTGACTCAGGAAAAATTAATGTTTATTTATTCAAACACATATAACGATCCTTTAAAATAACTCTAATAATTTTCAATTTAACTTATGCAACAAAAAGAAATAAAAATAACGTCTAATTATCTTTGTTATTGTTCACAGTGGAAGAATTTACTACGATCTTTTCAGAATTTTCCCAAAGGTTCTAATTACGAGCCTAGCTGAATTTCCCAAGAAAAATGTATAGAGAGAGAAAATACGAGCTACTAATTAACATCGATCGAGTCCTTGTTAAAATTATGGTCCTCACAAAAGACCTACTATTTAACGTATGATCGTAAAATAGAACAGGAATCAACCAATCTCGACCGATTGAAAATTTATACTAAACGATAATCGTAGATTAAGGAAAATCAGTTTTAATATTCTGACGTATAAAAGTGGAAAGAAAAACATTTTTTTTTCAGTAATTATTATAACGATCGCAAGCGTAAAGAAAGAAAAATCTTATATTTTAAAAAACTCACAATTAGCTGCGTTTGTCACGGTTCAAAACAATTCTGCGTTCCCTCGATCGATCTTTCTTTCAATCGGCAACTTTAAGATACGTCTAACAATCTAAGAAGTTAGAAACTAAATCCTACTAACAGAAAGTTCGTGTAGTTCTACGATATTTAATCGACGTAACAAAGAAAAACCAAGAAACACTCTCATGGGTAAAGAAGAATAAAGAAAAAAAGTACGAGAAGAAAAATGGCATCCTTCCGTTTTTACAATACCCACGTTGCCCAGTGAAGAAATCTAGAAGGAAAGAAAGCTTCGACTTTCGAAGGGAAAAGCTTGAGAAACCTTTGAACCGTATAACAGACACTTCTGCACTTTGTCGCCTCTATAGATCGAAGGGTTGTTTTATGTACTTGCTCGGTATTTCTCTTCTATTTCTGAACGAGAATAAAATAAGGGAGGAGGGTAGGAAGATGCGAAGGAATATAGAACATATGAGAATAAATTGAGATGAAAACAGTAGGTAGTAGTAGTAGGAGGAGGTCAGTTAGAACGGGCAAAACAAACTAAACTGAACAGTATGGATAAATTTTCATTGGAGGAGAGAGAATGCAATGGGAAAAAAAAGAATATCAAAAGGAAAGTAAGAAATGAAAAGAGAAATAAGAAAAGAAAAAGAATAAGAGTGAGTGAGAGAGAGAGAGAGAGAGAGAGAGAGAGAGAGAGAAGAAAGGAGGAAGAGAGAAGAAAGGGTGGGTGGATGTAAAAGCGTGAGTCTGAAAACACGAACGAGCGCAGGCGTCTCGCCACCACTGTTCACCTCGCTAGCATTCCACACCCCCGAGCCCTCTTGGCCTTCCATTCACCCCGCGTTCCTCCCCTTCCCTTTGAAGCATCACCGAACGCAGCGGAGTCGGTGCTGTTCGTTGCGCCTCGGTCAATTCGCGAACAGTATGGCGCTACGCGCTCCGACACGACATCGTACGCGATACGTACTCTAGACATTCTAACCTCCATCCCGAGGACGACGCGTCAACCCTGCACCACTTCCACTGGTTACCGTTTTGTCAATTAAAACCAGCTAGTTTGACAAGAGCGCATTTGAACTTTCCCTTTAAACGGACACTATCCAATTCTTATGACTCTCGAAACACATAAAAAGGGAAAAAAGAGGAACAATTGAAAATTGAAAAGGAGGGAACGTTGGAGTCGAGTACACAAAGAGACCACAAGTTTAGTGGCTTGCGTGAAACCGCGTGCACGACGTCGAATCGGGCTGTGGTCGAGCAAGATATTGCTCTCCAAGGAATACTAATCGCTTTGCGGTAATAACTAGAGGCTTTGAACTATATACCTACACGCTGTCTCTCTCTTTTTCTCTTTGTATTAATTTTGAAAGAGAGAATGTAATCACCACGATGATCATATCGTTTTTTTGAATGAATTATATGTATTTAGAATCGAGAAAGAGAAGACGATGTTATGTTAAGGAAAGACGAAAAGAATTTTCGAGCTAAAAAGAATCGTTTCAATTCTGGTGTTGATTCTAGCGTTGTGGGAAACGCGATGTGAGACAACCACGGACTGGTAGATAAGAGTGGAAAACGATAAAATCGAGGAAGGCGCGGAAAGAAAACTGGAGTGAGAAGGGTAGGTAGAGTCTAGAGACAGCGCCGGTGGCGGTAGCAGTAGGGGTAGTAGTGGTAGTGGTGGTGCTTCTGCTGCTACTACTGGTGGTGGTAGTGGAGCAGCCGGTAGTGGTGGAGGCGTGCAAAGTTATCGTGGAACAGCTGACCGGCGATAAACGCGTCGTGGCACGTGGTATGTCGCGAGATAATTAACGGCCGAAATTTTTCATCGGCATCGAGGATCAAAGTACCTTTTTCTATCGGCAAGCCGATTCTACTTTACAAAATGGCATGTCCATTTTCAAGAGCACACACCACGGAGTTCGAGCCGTCGGACGACGAACGGGACATTAGCAAATCGACGAGGATCTCCAAAGAGAGAAGCAAACCCTCTAGACAGTCCTCCGTGCAAATAGCCTGCTCTCTTCTAGGAGAGGACAATGACGACATCGAGAACACGCAAACGCTCAATCTGAAGCACCTCAGAGCCGCGGTCCTCGTCTTGACAAACCCTTCGGTATGTTATTCTACTTATAATCAAAATTATCTTTTTTTTTCGATCTTTAAACAACTCGATCGAAGCCTCGATCGATAAATCACTTGTCACTTTATTTACTCACACCTTCCTGTAACCCTCACTTTTGATCTTTTTTTATGAATTTTTTTTCTAGTACTCTAAATGGATGAACAACTTGATAAAATCAGAATATTGTTCGAATATATATTTTATTCTTGGAACAGTCGGATAGCGTTCAATATTCTATAGGAGTTTTTTTTTATTACGAATCATCATATCAAATGACTTGGGCTATAATGCCGATCGAATTGCATTTTAATATTTAATGTTTCGGAAATATTTCAAGAATGTTCGGTTAACTCTGACGCATCATAAACAGACGGAAACAATGGTAATCATCTCTTGTGTATTCCAATTGCATTTGCATGCGAGAGTATATTGCAAAATTCACGTAAAAATAACGCAATTGCTTTTTCCTTCGTTCTCTTTGCGTTTTAACCACGCACAATCGAGTGTACGTGTGCGTGTGTATGTGTATGCAGATGTACGTGCGCTGTATCATTAAATTTATCGAAAATTTCACGCTTCAAATTGCATTTTCATCCCGGTTTTTTTTAGCATAGATACTTATACTACTATATGCCCTTGTATCTGTTTAATGAGATATCGTTAATATTTTTCTAAATCAATTAGTCAAAATATTAACAAAATGGATTCAAAGAAACTTTATCAGAAATTTCAGCGTTTAACGAAATATCTCGAGTAGAACAAACTTCGAGTTTTCCTGACTTCGCACGAAACAATAATCAAGAGTGAAGTGAAGGCTCAAGTTTGCTACTTCGCTCGAAGAAACAAACAGGAATATAATAAACATACACTGCCACTTAATAATAACATAGCAATCAATTTTATATCAGTAAAAGATTTATTTTTCACATTATGTTATTCACATCGTAAAAAAAATCATTTAGCTTATATTTTTATGTTCGTTAAATTTTTTCATATTTACAAACAAATTGGCTTTTGTTTGAATTGCTTAATAACATATGGATTTTAATTCGTTGTCCTGTTAACGATTATATGTAGCAAATAAGCAATATTTACACGAATTAAGTAATAACGAATGAAATAATAATTCGTTAAATTTTAGTCAGCTTTAAAGTTATTATTATGTTTGAAATAAAGATCGATATTTTTAATAACTTATTCAAAGTATTTTTGTTAATTTGATTGATCAACAATTTATAAAAATAGAAACTTTTTTCATCGTTGTGAGATCGATTGGTAAACTATTATTGACTTTCGATGTAGAATAAATTTTTCTTGGATTCTCGACGATTTGTCCATTGTCTACTACACACTTTGTTTCTAGTTTCTTCCTCTTCTTTTACTTGTTCGGTAACAAGAAAGAAGGGACGAATTCGAAAGTTGCTTTACCCGAGTAGAAGAACGTCTTATCGACTAGCACAAGAAGAAAGATGTTTTCAACTTCCTACTTTGTCGGGAATGAAATGTTTTACAAGAAAAAACGATATATTCTTTTGACGATGTCTACAAGATTAAGAATTTTTGTCGAAAAGAAAATACCCATTTTTCGCGAAATATTTTTACAAATTGTTCGAAATAATTGCATTTGTGAATGACTGTAAAGAAACAATGGTTTTTCAAATAAGATTCGTTCATTTATACAAAATATTCAATAATCTCGAGTAAATATATAAAAAGTTGTAAGAATCTGTCTTAAAATTAGTTATAGATAAATCTCGGGAGACAGTATTTAATCAACTACAGAGGATTAGAGATAAAATGGGTGAGAAAAGGTGAATCCACGGCTTAAGACGATACCACAAAGGGCAAATCCTTTAAGACATTAAGCCGCATACGCAACAGACGCGTACGACTCACAACTTCCTCATTCTCACTGTCTTTAACCCCTTTACCTCTTCCACGCGTTATACCATCATCTTATTCTCAGATGATCACAAAAAGGAACATTGAAGGAAGGAAGGAAGGAAGATAGGTCGAGAAAGGGGAGTCGTTTTCAATGGGCGGAACGAAATGTAATCTGTAGTACCTGTTGAGCCGTCTTCGTCGTCTTCGTCGTTTGCGACGTGAATGACATAAGTACATACATGTCAATTGTGAGAAAACGAATATCATCAAAGTACGAGCTTAATTATTTTAATTATAAAGATTAAATGGACTTTGATAGAATATACAAAATCCAAATAAAATCCAGTCAAATTTCTCAAAATCTAACATCTTGTATTTTTACGTAAAAGGGCAAATATATGAGTATGGAAGGCTGAATTTAGAGGGCTGAGCAAAAATATTTAAATTAGAGCGTGAGCAAAATGCCACGACGTCGCCGGTGGCTTTACTTTCAAATGTCTGCGAGAAGAGAAGAGTCGAATGATTAATGTTTCAGTATGTTGGAAAGCTTTGAAAGGATTTCACCTATATACATTATACATATATATATATATATACTAAGAATGGTATCACGTTTCAACGTGCGTCTCAGTTTTGCGTTAACGAAGAATAGAAAAAAAAAAAAAAAGATTGAAAACAATATAAAAGCTTTTGATTAGTCTGGTAGTTTCAGCGTTTTTAAAAATGGTCGTTTGTCCAAACGAAAAATAAATTTACTTTGAAATTTTTAATCGTTCGAATGAACAAAAAGAGAAATCGAATAACTCGTATCTACCTGACCGGTTTGTTTGGTGTTTTTAACATATTAACATCAACGCATTTTGCGAGAAGTTTTGATAACCGACTTTCTGCTTCGATCCCCTGCAAACTATATCGAGCGCAAATTTTTCATTTCTTCTACATTAAATAATTAATTTCATATCACGCAGAAACACGAGATATAATACTCTCGTATTTTTTTTAAATTCTATTATCTTCCTCCTGTATCAATAAGTTAACATGTTTATACCCCAAAATTCATTCCCTTCTAACGAACTGTATCTTTTCATAAATATTATTCAAACTGACATACTTAACTAACGAACTTTGTTAATTCGCTGAATTTGTCTTTTCTCTCTTTTTTTCTATTCGCTAATAGTTCATAAAAAGGTACGCGAATCGATCGTCAATGAATTACGCTTCGGAATATTTAATCGGTAAAATTCACATTCACCATTTTCTGTCTTTGAATTCCTCCTTTTTCTGTCTTTTTCTCTTTTTTTCTCGCACTTTTTTTTTTAGTCTTTCATCGTGTAAACTAGATGTAATAGGACTTTGCATCTAACATGCTTATAACGTTCTTAATAAAGGTGATAGATCGCCTCCAGCTCTGTGTGCGGTGTTAATATTGGGAGCAAAGACGATGTTTGTCCTACGTGTCGATGAGGTCGATTCGAAAATAGTGTCGACGTGACATCGTCTAAGCGCATGTATATTCATCGATATGTGAATAACAAATCAAAGAACGAATATTATGCATATAGATATATAAATATATATATACATTTCATGTTTATTAGCTAACGATATGTTTTCGTAGATTTATTCGTTTTGAGTTATTGGCGTACGTAATACGTAAAAGCTTAATATATGACTTTACTTTAGCTTTTTACTATATTTAAAACAAACTTCCAGCATGTTTATTCTACCATACTATGTTTTCAGTATGAAAAGCAAACTACCCTATAAAACACATTATCAGAAGCTAAACCAAAAATAAAGGACAAAAGTTTGTTTGTTTTATGTAATTAAAGATCAATTATAATTTAACGAAGCTTCTTTCTATCTTTGTTTCATGATATTTTTCATTCTCTAAAATTAAAAAATATATATATAAGTAAAACCAGTTACAATATAAAAGCAAAAGATCTTATTTTTGTAATACTTACAATAAATACAACTTCAAGCATAAACATTGGAAAGAGAATATGTTTAACAAAGTAATGTTTTTCCTGCATTAATTGCACATACGTAGTGCAATATTTCTTTTCAAAGAATCGATGTTTTTGATATCCAAGTTAAAAGGCTTTTACTGAGGAAAATCCGGCATAGCCTTGGACTAAAAGGGTCGAGAGCAATTAGTCCGACAGACGGTTTGATACACAAGATTGCTTCGTAACAGAGGCACGATGTACCGTTTCTATTATAGTTTCTACTCTCGTATGTATACTTATTTATGTAGTATCTAAGCTAGGGCAAAATACCGAAACTATTCTGATTACTTGGAAACGCAATAATATCTACAATATACCTACGTATATTCAATAATCAGATAGAAAGGAATTTATTCCAAAGCTTTCGGATCTCTTGCGCGAATCTAAAGTATATTTACGTATATTAGATCGATAAGAAATTATTCAAAAGATTCTAGATCGAAGTAAACACACACTAAACAAGGACGGCCTTAATATCGAATAATCGAACTAACGAGTTTATCATATAGTTACTCCTTATTCAGATATAGAATCTGTGGAGTGAACTCACCTTATCGATATAACAAAGTATACTACTTGTAATTGGAAGTTTACGTAATTCTATTAACCGTTTAAAGCGTACGTCGAAGCATACACAAGCAATAGTTAAATCACTTCTGTTTTACCTTTGACTAAATGTAGTACTGCACACGTACTTTGATAAACGTAGTACAATTTCATAGACACTCAAGATCCCATATCGTACCCAGTGCACCAACTTCGGCCCTTTGACAAAGATCCCATGAATTTCCCATCAAAATGCCGATATTGAATTTATCTTCTTTAGTATCTTACCGTTTCTGATATTTCTAAAAGAAAAAGAAGATATTCCAAATATTAATATCTTAAAATGATATAAATTTAGAAATATTTCTGAATAACAATGATTTTTCAAAATAATTACTATTGTAGTTGTATCTGCTTTATCAATTTAAAAATAAATATATATATATATCTATAAATATTTGAAAAAACTTTTATAATTCTACATGATGAATTATCGAGATTTTCTATAAATTCTTATATATTAATTATAGGAAATCTTTGTACAGATGT